GGAGGTCTTTTGTAAAATGGTGGGTGCATTTGGTATATCTATAAAAATTTTAAAATGATAAACACTTGGTGTAAGAATAATTTATTTGTAATTTAATACACGTGATAATATGACAAATACTTTAAATATGCCTGCTCTTTGTTTTATATGAAGTGAAGTAAGCCATTGATATTTAATAAGTATAACTGTGCATATCCAAAGTCAGAGTGTACTGGCTCAAAACTATTTCCAAATACAATTTTATTGTTAACGATCAACTTATCTCTCATGAACACTATTCCCTTCCTGTCCTCCTAATCCATGCTCTCCTATCGGCTTTCCATCGGCGCCCTCATCAACAGTATTAAGCGGGTGACTGTCCCCTCCCATCCCTGTCCCCGATGTTTCCTGTTTGGCAATCTGTTGACTCAATTTTTGAGACAACTCTTTATCCAAACCCTTCTTCACATCTTCCCTTAGCTTTCTCTCTTCCGCCTCCCTGTCCTCTTTAGCTCCTGTATCCATTTTCCCGTGACCTCCAGGTCCTCCCTGTGCCTCAATATTAATCCTTTCAGTGGTAGTTATTACTGAAGACTCTGATTCTGGCTGAACAGCACCAGTAGTTTTAGATGGGGTGTCAGGGTCTCCGTGAGGGCTATTAGTGTGTGCTTCGGAATGAACCTCGAAAGTAGGGTTTACTATAATTGTAGTCATAGACAACATTAGTAGGTATAAGATAATTTATCTAGTTTGATTATTTAAAAATATACATTATATGTACAGTGTATGACATACCAATTGAACCACCTACCACAAATAATAAATAAATGATGGCAATTATAATTATTGTGGTCACTGTTTAATCATATAAAATGTTGAGGTGAATGGGTTCATAGAATTTTTGTACTTACCTAATAGTGAGCATGGTGATTCATTATTTTGAGTAGTATGTTTGGGAATAGTGTTGAATTTGTAAACAGGGTTTGTGTGCAAAAGTGGTTTTAATTCACTTTGCATTTCAATACTAACGACTTTTGTCATATTTTATAATAACAATTAATTGTGTGCTGGGTAGATTTATAATTATTTCATATTTAGGTAACATAAAATATAATTATTATTACAATATTAGAGACAATAGACTTTGTTTATTAAATTGCGTTTAATTTTCATTTATGTTATTGTTTTCTGCAATCTCTAAGTGTATTGATAAGTATGATAAAGCAGCCTGTTTATTTTATAAAACAAATATTATTTAGCACTTACGTTACCAAAAGGTTTATTATAAACAATAAATGTTTTTCTTAAATTCTTGTGTGAAAAGAGTTTATTTATAAATCTTGAACGATATTAAACATATTTACGATAAATGATCAATAATTTTATTAAAATGAAATATTAATTTCTATAATAATAAAATTAATATAAATTATAAATATTTTATTTCAATTCAAATTCGCGGTCAAATTGACGGCCGATATGTTGAGGGCAATGACTGTCCAGTTGTTTGACAGCACTTTCCCAATCATCTGTCCGTCCATTCAATGTCTCGCATATATTGATGAATACGTGGACTTTATGTAAAGCGTATGTATTCTGCAAAACAGTGAATAAATAAAAATTAATGCATTATAACTTATAACTTATAAATGGATAAATAATTAAATTAAATACTTTTGACAAATTAAAACACTTCTCATTGAAAGTGTCGACCATTTTTCGATAACACTTTCTGTTATAGAGCTCTCGGTTTGTATTGAGTATAGCATTGGTTGCGATGTTTGGCATTAAGTGTTGAATACTATTCACGTATTCATACAATACTTTATCCACATATTCACGACCTCTAGTCAGACCATCCAATTCATCCTGATAACTATTAATTACATAGATATAATCATATATAATTATGAGATAGTAAATAGAGCATTAAAATAATTAATTACCGCTGTTTATCACTCATATCATCCGCTAATTCAACTCGTTTTTTAGCTAAAAACATAGCCGGGTCCTCATCACTGGTGAAATTGCATTTACCAATAATTATATCTTGCTTGTTATCAGTGTCAAATTTACTTTTCGATTCAGGTCCTGATAATTTAAACATTTGCAAATTAGCTTACTTATAAAACATAGTTACAAAATAACTGACCCATAAACTGCGAAACTGTGCCCTTTTTGGCTATTGACAAATCACCATATTGTTGTGGGTGCTGGGTCATATTCATACACAAGGTCTCATTGCCAGATTGAAATGGCAAATAAACATCAGGTCTGTCAGCGATATACTGAAATTGCGTGTCCAGGGTCTCCACCTTAGGATGGTAGCGGTCGGCATTTTGAGACCACAAATACGTAAAGTACCCAGCTATTAATTAATAATTAATATAATAAAACTTAAACACATTTGCTAAGTAAATGAACATTTGAAATTATTTAAAAATATCGATATTTACCAAGACAAACTTTGCGTGGTCCAAAATCAAATGAATATTGAGCAGCATATTCATCGGGTTGCGATGCAGTCATGGCATAAATGTTCCAGGTGTTTGGCAATTTGTTAGCTAACATTGATCCTATTTTAGGGTAACATAATTATTAATTTATTATAATAATAAAGTATATTGATTTAGCATTACCAGATTTACACGATTCTATGTATAACACAANTTTATTATAATAATAAAGTATATTGATTTAGCATTACCAGATTTACACGATTCTATGTATAACACAAGTTGATCATATTTATTTTGTTTGTAAAGTTCGCCAAGTGTATTAACAAGGTCAGTAGCGTGCAGTATTTCATTCGGAAAAACAAATATTTCTGTTTAAAAAAGTTATGTAATAAGTGGTTAAAATATAAATTAAAAGTTTTTTTATAGTTATTTAACCTGTATCACCATGCGACATTAGGTACACGAATATACGATTTTTAGGATTACTTTTGACCACTTTCTTTCCCTGTTTAACTAACTCAGAATCACCGCTAAGTAGACCAAATAGGTTCTGGACAAATTAGATATTTAAATTATAATTATTATAAATCAATGCTTTTCTAGACCTTGGTGGTGACATCATTTCCAGTATAGTCTTTCGGAACCCCTTCGTAAACATTAGTACCGTTAAGAGCGTTGATTATAACCCCAGGGGTTGGGTTCTGTTTATCGTAGGCTATGTCGTCCGGATGCATGACTATTATGTGGTCATCGGGTATGCCCTGCGAGTGAACCAATTGGTACGCCTTATATACATCCGACTATCATCCGGGTATAAATGATATTAATTTTGAACATTAGAGAGAGAGAGAGATAGAGAGAGACAGACAGACAGACAGAGAAAGAAAGTTACCTGCACACCATAATTAAACCAGTCACCCGACCCTGCTACCAATACAACCCAAATGTTTTCCAAATCACCAGTGTCAAAATTGTTTCCTAATGGTACCGCATTAACTTTAAAATAAATTAATGATAAAATAAATAGCACTTTCATTTTAAAAGCTTTTATAGTTATTAAATTAATTAATTATAAAAATTAAACTACAAATAAGTTTATTTTGTCATTATTACTGAAATGTAGATCTATTTATACATTTGTTTAAGCGATTCACCTTGATTACCATTAATGTACAGTTCTAACTGACCTTGTACAGTATTTCACCATTGTTATGTCATCTGTCAGAGCACTAATACACTTATGTTTTGATTTTTTTTCATGAGTAATGTTTTTTATCTTGCTTAAATTAATTTCATATGTTATACCTTTTGTTTTGCTTTAATACTTTCCCATGCAATTGATAATTATCTTATAAATCACCTTTATCAAGTAAAATTGAATGCGGATCTTCTACAGTGTCTTTCACCATGGACCTCTGCCTTTGAATTGAAATAACTCAAAAACTAAATTTGATAGCAAGGTACTCTAAACGGTATTTAAAACTAGAAAGTATAGCAATTTTTTTGACATACTAATCTCCCATGTGCAACTTAAATTAATGTTATTTTAATGGACACTCTTGCAGACATGGGTTACAGGATAAACCAAATGAGCAAGGTAGATACAATATATAGTGATTTTGTAG